ACAGTAACAACATTACAGTTATGAAGTAGCAACGAAAATAATTTTATGGTTGGGGTCACCACAACATGAGGAACTGTATTAAAGGGTCGCGGCATTCGGAAGGTTGAGAACCACTGCACATATCCCACGGGCTTTACACACCTGCCAGGCCCAGACAGCCCAATGTCAGTATCAGTCAATTTCACAACTTTTCTGTCCCTTCTCCTTTGCTTTCATCCCTCCCTTCTGCTCTGAGTCAGGAATTAAGTTAGCAAACTGGCGTAGAAAACTAAGCTTCTGAAAGCATAAAGGAGGAAAACAGAAAAGAATTTGCACTCCACCTCCACATCGGTGGGAAAGGGAAGTGGCTGTAACTTTGACTAAAGTTGTTTTTATTATACTGGACTAGGCCTCATTATTTAGTGGAGATTTATTTTTTTAAAAAATATATATATTTTATTGATTTTTTACAGAGAGGAAGGGAGAGGGATAGAGAGTTAGAAACATCCATGAGAGAGAAACATCGATCAGCTGCCTCCTGCACACTCCCTACTGGGGATGTGCCTGCAACCAAGGTACATGCCCTTGACCAGAATCGAACCTGGGACCCTTGGGTCAGCAGGCCAACGCTCTATCCACTGAGCCAAACCGGTCAGGGCTGGAGATTCTTTTATTACCCAAAAGTTGCCAGGAAAGTAGTAAGACTTGCCTTGAGTTTTATCTGGGGGAAAAGGAAGAACCAGAGACCAGAATAAAATTAAATGGACAATTTATATTGTTTTATGATAATTTCTCATAAAAGTCTGCTCCATGAAGGTACTGATTATATATTCAGACCTTATTTATTAATTTCCTTCCTTTTATTCATTTAGGGTTGATTGCGGAGGCATTATAAATAATGTCAGACTAGGCTTATACACATTTCTATCATTATGTTCTGGATCATTAGAGATTTGCTTACAGAAGGGGAATACTCATATATCAATATTGGCAAGTTGCTTTTCAAAAGGGTTTAGGCATGAATGTTTTTGCATGAATGTTTCAGATACAAAGACGTTTAAGGAATACTTAAGAACAATATTTGACTTTATGACATCTATGGAAGGGTTGACTATAAAAGGAGAAAATCCCCACTATTCAACTGTCCTAATCAGCTGCTAAAATATTATTCCAAGGGTATCCGTTTTGCAGACTGTAAACTCTATAGAATTTTCTCCATGGATTATAAAATACCACTTTATGTGGGAGAAGTCTGCACCACAATTTTTCAATCAGTCATTAATTTTAAAGTACATTGAATTTGGAGATAAAACATCTAGACGAATTTGACTTTTATTAAGTCTTAAAAAACGAACAGCTCTTTCCAGCCGGCGCCAAGCCATGGATTGCCCTGATCTCACCAGGCACGAGCTCCTGTGGCTGTCCTTTCGATACACTGAGATGTGCAGGCAAGGTCAAGGGGCTGCGCCCCCACCGTGGGCCCCGTGGGGAGCAGCCGACTGAAATGGAGACACAAGAGAGGGAAGAGGCTCTCGCGGACTCCTGGTGGCAGGCAATCTTTCTTTTCTTTTTTTATGTGTTTCTTGCTTCTCTTTATTAGTTTATACACCCAGCTGCTCACATCTCTAAGGACTGTAACATATTTTGCATTTTTTAAACTTTATACAAGTGGTGTCACACTGTGTATATTTTATATGGCTGTTTTTATTTTACTCCCCCATTTGTTTTTGACTTTCATTCTGGTGGTTCTAGGTTATTCGTTTTCAGCCTACGGTTTTATACTTGCTACATCGATTTACCAGAGCGTATGACTCCTCCTTCTGAAGAGCAGTTTGCTGTCCTTACCAGCTTAGTGTCACTTAGACATGCTTTGGTAAATGCCTCGTATTTACCTCGTATTTATTATACTGGACTAGGCCTCATTATTTAGTGGAGATTCTTTTTTTAAAAAAAAAGAATCAGGGCCAGGGCAGCTGGGAGAGGATCAGTGACATGGGACGCTCCTTTCCTGTTCCTCTATTGTAGTCCTGAAGGGAGCCGGGATGGGAGGAGGGAACTTTTAAGCATCCGTCTCCTTTCTGCTTATGGCTCCTGTGCCCTGGAGAGGGCCTGGGACCTAGTGAGCATCACTGAACCAGACAGAGGCGGAGTCTTCCACACGTAACTGCAGGTGTGGATGTGGCCTCCCAGGGAGAGGACAGAATCAGCACCACCCGGAGCTGCAGTGGTGTCCTTAGTCCCAGAGGGCTCAGACACACCCTAAGCCATTGGTTCTCAACCTTCTGGCCCTTTAAATACAGTTCCTCATAAAATTATTTTCGTTGCTACTTCATAACTGTCATGTTGCTACTGTTATGAATCGTAATGTAAATATCTGATATGCAGGATGGTCTTCGGCGACCCCTGTGAAAGGGTCGTTCGACCACGAAAGGGGTCGCGACCCACAGGTTGAGAACCGCTGCCTAAGCCCTGCCCCCATGCCACCCAACAGGATATTTTCCCTCTTCCTTTATTGTTAGACACAATGTGTAAACACAACACAGAAAACAGCAGGGATTCTCTTGGACCTCAAAAAACAGCAAGGAAGGAAGAAGTTCCAGAATTTTTTTAAAGTACAAGACATATTAGTGCCCAGGCCAAGGCTGTGGATGGCAGACCACAGTCAACAGAGCTGGTGGGGGCTGT